CGTGCGCCTGCTTTCTGTAGTTTTCCAAGGGCGCGAAAACTGTGAGGTGAAAATTTTCCTTCTCTCTAAGACCACCTTCCTGGATCTGAATCCAGTCTTCCCAGACCCCCTCAACTTCCTGCCACCTTATCGCAGTTTTTTCTGGAAACGTCTTCACTTTTCACCCAAAAACTACCGGCGAGCATGGATGGGGCCATTATTTGGGCCACTTGAAGCAGAACCCTAGAAAAATCATTAACCAAAAACCATTTTTTTTTCTCGAACGCAAATACTACCCACCTGACTCCAGCGACCAAACGCGGTTCCCCCCCCCCCTCACCTCGTTGGGGATCCCCAACGTACGACGTGGCCTGATGGCAGGAGCGCGGTCTGCACTGTGCCGCCGCCATTTATGCTCCCTTTTTTTCGGCACTATTTACCCTCCACTGCCCCACTTCCAAATTCTGACCACGATTGGATCAAAATTTTTCGCTGTGGGTATATTTACCTAGTATACTCTCCCCAAAGTAGTTGACCCCATGAGCACGAATATCACCTACCCTCGTGAAAACGCCCAGGACGCATGTGTGGGCGTCTTCGCCAAAACCATCTGTGGCACGCCCTCCCCCCTGGCGTGTACAGGGTACAGTCATTTCCGCTGTGCACGCTGAGGCGTACCAAGGGATAGGGTTTTTTTTTCGCGGAGCCAGCCCTTCCTCTATTAGTTGCTGGCGGGGACAAGTGAGAACAGTCAGTGGAAATTGAGTCGGCACCGCGTCAAAACACCTCCCTTGACACGCCCAGTGTTCTTAGCGCGAACCAATATGCGCCGTTCCCCACATATCGCATGAAACTCATGCGATATTCATTGTTCAGGAGGCTAGGACTACAAAAGCGTGTTCAGAGGAAGATCTATATTAAGAGAAAAATCGCCCTAATCTGGCCAGAGTTCCTAACAATAGGAATGAGGCAGTAAACGGTTACGAAGCCCTCCTTATACATGAGGTTATAAGGAGAGCGCGCAAATGGAGAGGGCACATTGTTGGGCTCCTGGTCTCTTGGTTGGCCCAATGACAATGTATCGCTACTTCAAGTAAGAAAGGGTACTCCATAGTCCACACAAAAACCAAAGAGCTGTTGTGCTGTGATCCAAACTCCATTACAGTACCTTTTTTAAATTTTTTCTCGAACCGAGTGTTTGTTCATGTCGCCCTAGAAGATACACACTAACCCGGAGCGTTGGAGTTACCACTTGGTCGGTAGAAACACACAACTGCAACACAGTTCTTTGCCGTATTCCATGCTCTTGCGGCACCTAGTTCAGTAGTGTCTCTCCAGACCATCTGCGAGAAACGCTGACATTCTGAAATGGAAATATGAGTGAGCATGTAGATGAACTGAAAGGGTCAAACCATAATGTGAGGATCGCCTGTGGACACACGGACATACTTGGACTCCATCGCGGTCGATCGAAGTCGAACTGATCAACCTCCGTCTCCCAGCGAGTGACCACCTCTGCTCCTGTTGGGAGATGCGTGTGATCATTTGCATCGGTCATCAAAATATTTTCGCCTATCCCTGAAAAAAAACGGAAAAATAACAAAAGGATTCTGAGTAATATTTAAGCTAGGAAGTGCCGAATCGCAGATGCCGAATCGCAAGAGGTAAGATCTGGCTCCTTTTCTCTCTCTTTCTCCCTCTTCCATCAGATTTGGCAATCACTCTTCTTCAAGATACACTGCCCGCTGACAGTTCTAACACAGCAATCAGACGGGGCGGTTTCAAAAAACTCACCTGCGTTTCCACTACTGGTTGTAGCAGGGCCGCCGAAGAGTGGCTTATTCCAGCTCTCTCGCCAACGCTTGATTGCGATCACTCAAAAATCACAAACTATACCCATGAGCTGGATCCTCGCCATATGCGAGAAGGGCTGCTCGCAGCTGTGACCCGTGCCATTTTTGTTATTCAAAAGTACAAGTAGATGAAGCTGTGAGGTTGTGATGGCCGGACGTCATTTTGTACCCTAGCCACTATCCACAACGCGCAGCATGCCGATGTCCCGCGGTGAACACCATGGAA